GAACAGGAACTGAGTTGATCTGGTTTGAGGTACAGCAAGATGAAACCGCCCAGGTTTCTAATGTGTTACATAGAGTTTTTCTGTATGTTTGATATGAAACCACATCTGATCTTTATCTTTTCCTTGAGATGCATTCTTCAGCCCACTATAACTGCAGCCATTTGTATTGATAAAAATAGGAACTGAAGCAGCAAGAAGGCTGGGCTGTTGAGTATTAAAGGCCAGTTCCGTTCTGTAGTTCAAAAGGAAGCAGCTCCCAATGAACAGCATCTGAAAACTGAACTACCATATTTCTGTTTGCTGTAGGGGCTGGAGCTTGAAGGAAGCTACCTGACAGGGCAGAGGTAAAAATTCAGAGCCAGGCCCCTTCATCACCACAGCACTAAATGTTGAGGAAGTTCCTGGTTTATAGCTCATATGACTGGGCCACTGCAATTTGAGCCTGTGTGTTTGTGTGAAGGAGAGAGAGATGCCCCTGACTGGAAGCAGCAATAAAATGAAACTGACCTCTTTCAGGATTTTGTAACAAAAGGAGGGTTGTTTTAAACCATTATTCAAGCTTTGCACCTAGGTTACTGAAGCCCATGAGCATTCCTTGTGCTTGAAGCATTAGCATTTATTTCTGTGGCATTTGTTTAGGCTCTCCAGCGGCTGGCAATTTCCTACCCAAGAAGAGCATATTAATACAGTGAAAATTAGGCCATCCCGGCCAAGCTGTGCCAATGTTAGAATCTGGAAGGCACCCAGATACTGATTAAAATAGCCAGTTAACAGAAGTCCCACCACTCTGCTCTGCCTGAGGTGTACGGCTCTCTGCCTGATAGGCCAAGTCGGCCAAATTCTGTGCTCAGTGTAGAGCATGCAAATGCAGCAGGTTTGCCCGATTAATAAAATGTATTCAAGCTGCAAATCATTTGTGTGTGCGTGTGTGGGGAGGTTGGAGGAAATGCAAAGCTCAGAAAGGGGTAAGTGAGAAGTGATGGGAAGGCATGAAAGCCGATTGCCAGGAAAAAGTGAAATCCCTTGTTAGAGTAGATAGCACCCCACAAGGATTTCATTCTTTTATAGAATAAATATAAAGCCTACGGTATTTATTCTTACTCTCTACAAATTTTACATTTATGGGTGAAAGGCAACACCTCTGCAAAATATGCATCTTATTAAAAGCTGAATACACCATGACTCAGTCTGGGGAACTTGTATGAGTGCAGGAGCTCCAATGTGCACATAATGTTCCTGGGCACATGAGATTCACCAGTCATTACTATGAAGGAGATATTTGCATGCATAGCCTTGGCCAAACAGATTTGTTCCCTTCATGGGATCAATGGGGAAACCCTCACAATTAAGCTATCCTTCATAGCCTTCTGGATCAGGGCAAATAGCATCTGGAATGAAATGGAAACTGGGTATTTTAAACTGTAATGTGTTATTTTTCAGTATGCTTCAACACAGAGGGATCTTCAGAAATACAGAGGTAAGATGCTTGAAGTTGGATCCACTAGGGCTACAAAATTATTATTTCCAATGGTTTTCTTCTGGCAGGTCTCCCCAGTGAGGCCTGTCTGGCACTGTTTCAGCACCAGGTAAAAATTAATCTCCCCCCACTCCAGACTGTTGACAGATGAGGACGATGTCTTTGCTGCAAGTCCCCTTCTAAAGCTTCTTGTGACTGTTATCTTTCATATATGTTTTCGTATGAATGTGTTAAAATAATGATGATGATATAAATATATACAACTGGATGATGGCATTGCTGAAAAGGAAATACCATCTCATGATACAGATGCTGTAGGTCTTTTACCCACTGCCCTGTGGGACATTTCATTGTCTCTCAAGACAGATGGATGCCAACAACACCAAAGTTCTTATGAAGAGCAAGGTTCAGATTATACCCCAGTTGTGAGCACTGCTTCAATCTCACCCTTTTGAGAAGGACATGCCGGAGGGGGCTCCACCTTATACTGTGCTTGACATTGGCAAACTCCCCAAGCCCCAGCTGCAATCTGACCCTGGTCTTGCATGCCTTCCAGTTGGCCCAAGAAACAATGTTCTGACAAAATTTAAGAACCCTGACATGTTCTTTCTGTTCTTAAACTTATATATCCTCCCACCCAGCAACCAGAACAGTTTTCTTTAACTGGATCCTTATTGCAGGTCTGTGTGATCACCTCCTAATCTCCTCATCCTCTTTAAAAGCCTAATATACTTAGGGGCCTCCCTGCTGGCTTCTTGAATTTTCTTATCTTGGAAACCTAGTATAGGTACTGTGGATGAGTTCTGACCATGTTTGTATATACCCCCGAACACTCTGGGGGCTTTTTTTGGTGTGTGTCTGAGAACCGAAGAGATGTTTGGTCAGAAGGCCCCCCATTTTGGTGAAAGAACAAGGGATGCAGCATGTGACTATCATTCTCACATCAAGGGCAGAAGCAACAAACCATTTCTACAGCCAGAGGTTTCAAATGAAAGGAAAGTGCTACTGTTGTCTTATCCTGCTTTCTTGTCCTGTTTTTGGGCTTCCCAATGGCACCTAGTTGCCTACTCTGTGAAACAGAATGCTGAACTAGACAGATTTTTGTGTGTAGTCCAATAAGGTTCTTACGTGCCTGCGGAATTTGAGAAGGGCCTTTTAAATATCCCGAATGTTAAACCCTCCCCCATTCATACATTTCTTTGCCTATGTGACGCTGCTCTGTTGCAACATTGGAGCGGGCAGCAAGTAAGCATAAAACTGCACCCAGAGCAATGGGTGATCAGGTGCTGGAGGCCAGAACTCAGCTGTGGGTATTGCAGCGCCTGTCCTGCAAATTTGTAAGCTGCCAGTCCAGTTGGCTTCTGAATGTGGAGTGTGGAATGTGGGGTAGCACAGATAGCAAAACTTCTTGGGACGGACCTACATTTACGATGGGATATTGAGATGGCAGTGCCTTGCACTGAGTGCTTGAAGATAAGTCTGACAGCTGTAGAAAGGAGGGATCTTGTTAAATTTCATAACAGGTTAAACAAAGTGTGTGAGAATTGATATGAGGCAATAATGAGGCCATTCAAAACTCTTAATGTTGTAGGTAGGATCTCTGGGAACCCTAGTATAGACTATTTAGATAAGAGAACCCAAAATGCTCTCCTGAACATTTTCACTGGGCTACCTCGTTGAAAGAAAATATTAATATATGGTGTTTCAACAAGGTAAAGGTAAAGGGACCCCTGACCATTAGGTCAAGGTAACCCAGTGTAAATTTCAGTGGAGCATCCTGGGTTCTATATCAAGCCGTCATACAATGATCTCAACATGTCTTGTTTCACTACATCACCTAAAAACTGTGCTCCCACTACAGTGAGTTTAAGACATACAAAAAGATACTTGCATACACACTGTAAAGAATGAGAAGTCTTGTTAGCATTAGCAATTTTTTATTTTCCTTTTTTGTTGCATAGGAAATGCAGTACTTGCTTCCAGTAATCGTATTGTAATGTGAGAGGGTGGTAGCACTAATGGTTGAATACAAGAGTTAAACTAATCCACACCAGCTCAAAAACCTGCAGAGATTTAGTTGAAAAAAGAATGGATGCCCACAGTGATTCTCAACCAATTGCAAATTTTCACAGAACATAATAAAACTAAAATGATAACTCTGAGAGTCAATACAAGGATACTAGAGGCACAAGGGACCCGATTCATTAAAAAAAGTAGAGACACAGGGGTATTAACACAGGGCTGAGGTTATTTTGCAGCAGATCTCTCACATGTCCATTTTGTTACACCAAAATGAAAAAGAATTTCTCAATATTTGAACAGAAGAAGAGCCTGCTGGATCAAGCCCAATGGCCCATCTAGTCCAGCATCCTGTTCCCACAGTGGCCAACCAGATGCCTATGGAAAACCCACAAGCCGGATTCAAGCACAAGAGCCCTCTCCCCTCCTGTGGTTTCCAGCAACTGGTATTCAGAAGCACTGCTGCCCCCAAATGCCGAATCAGAGTATAGTCATCATGGACCTTTGATAGCCCCCTCCTCCATGAATTTGTCTAATCCTCTTTTAAAGCTATCTAAGTTGGTGGCCATCACTGCCTCCAGTGGGAGCGAGTTGCACTGTGTCCATAAGTACTTTGATTGGCAGAACTGAGCAAGTGAGCCGGTGACTGTCTAATTGTGCAAAGAAGCCAACAGCAGGTCAATTGTGGGTATTCTCATTTGCTGAATGTTCCCACTAACACATTTTGCAAGCCTGCAAAGTGGCTGCAAAATCAGTTTCCTGCCTTCTTACAGTAGCAACAAAAGTGAAGGTACAGGTGGGAGACTGCCCACTCAGACACTTTGCTCTAGTCAATATTTGTGCTCTCCAAGATCAGATTAGTAAATGCCTTCTCTACATGGAATTGCCAAGGTCTTTTTCAGCTCTTGCATTTATACTACAGATCATGATGATTCCTGGCTTCATCCTTTCTATCTTGGGGTAGTGGTGGGAGTTCACTGATTTGAGGCATTGCTGTAAATGAGGATGCAGGAATGAGTACATGAAATCTAGTGAAATACTGAATTAGAGGTATTCGCTCTAACATTGTTTTGCACTCGGAAAGATTATGAAGTGAAGTACAAAACCTCTGCACAAAGTCTAGCAGATTATGCTATGGCCAAGAGAATTATCTTCAGCAGGACAGTAAAAATCCCTTATCTGTGCAAAGTGCAGAATAAGGATGCTCTCATCAACTTATTATCTTCAAGGGATCCTTCCCCTTGTCAAATGATGTATATACTGAAGGTGTTCTGCCTCCTGATGGACATGAAATCAGGTGAACTCTTGGTAACAATAACATGCTAAAATTTGTTCTTGTCATGGGGACAGAGGAGGGGGACCTCAAATTTGGGGTAAGAATCATACAACAAAATCCTATGTTAATGCCTAGTGACTATTTATGAATCGGGCCCAAAGTTTATACAGACTTTTGAAGGAAAAAATTGCAACGGTGCATGAAACTAAATAGCCACATGAAGTTGGGTTTTTAAAAAGGTTCTTAAAAGTTTGTTTTAATATGAGGAGGTCTGATGTGAAGAAGGGTCAAGCATGGGTACCTGGTTTGAACACTGTCAACGAAGAAACCACTTTCAATGTCAGTTCCAAGTTGGAGAATTGTTCCTTACATTGAAATGATGTCTTATTTTTCTTCTGAGATAAGCTCTTAAGAATTCTTATGGATGCTTCTAAGCAAAGGAAAAAATACCACCAGGCATGGATTTCTGATTTCAAACCCTATGCCTGCCCTTATTAATAAAAAACTTGCCCCCCAACAAATAATACTGAATTTTAAGTTAAATGTATATATCCAAAATACTGAAAACACCCAAAATCAAGGAGAGAAAAAAACAGAATTTGTGTTCTCAGTGAAATATCTTTAAACCTATCTGACAAGAACCAAGTCAGAAAAAAAGACTAACATAACTTTGAGTAATATTCATACAGCTCACTAAGCATTATGGAATAGCATGCATTAATATTGTACGGTTATTTTACATCACCTATATCAGAAGGTTCTGACAGACAGCGAAGGCTACTGGTGTAGAAAAAATCTTACTTCAGAAGAGCAATATAATACAGATTTCACAGGCACTACATTTTTAATATATCAGGTATTATGCTGGTTTTCTTATATTTCTTTCTGTCCTAAAGCTGGCATTTATAATAATGACCAAAAAGGCAAGGATTGAAGTAAACGGAAACTAGATACCAAAGTTGATATATTTCTTTTTTCAGATTTATATTAGTGCATAGTTCTCATGCAGATAAACACTGCTATGCATTTACATTGTTGGAAAGCAGAGTGAATTGAGCCCCAAGTTGTCACATTTTTGTAAATCATTTTGCCAGCCTGTAATAGCACCATGTAATGGATTTGCATTAAACATTAAATTGATTTCAGAATTGGTGACACAGTATTCACTACAGTTAAGTGCTATGGAATAGCTTCAATGTTACCTGCTATATATCAAAGCAATTTTCATCCCACTGCTTTTTTATTGGAAAAAATAAAAGGAAAATGTACTCGATACTAATTAGACTATTGCACAGCCTTGGACTTGATGGTGGCATAGCCGGGTTTTACTGTCAAACAGTAATACATGCATTGACTTCAAGACAAAATTGGCTTTGTAAGCTTGATTTAATGGAAACCTTGCCTGGTAGGCAGAGTTCACTTCATGAGACCTCCCCCAATAGATCTCATGAAAGATGAGTTTCTTTTAGGTGCCATTGAAGCTCTCCTTACATTTTCATGCCGGTCGTGGTTTGCAATGTTTGTTCTATGGAGGCCTTCTACCAAAGTAAAATCATTTTTTTAAAAAAAGAAAGATATTTCCAGAGACACAATGTAAAGTATAATATTAAGTGACATTTTGTTTAAAAAGAAAAAAAAAACACAAGGAAAAATACCTGTTTTATGCCACGTATCTTGGTTTTTTTGTCTTTTGTTTTGTGTGTGTATGTATGTATGTATGTGTACAGTAAATGTTAACACTGTTACTACAAAGCTGCAAAATATATGAACAAAAAGAAAACTGTGAAAGAAAACTAGGTAGAGGAATTTTACATATTCCTGTGGGCTGACTGAATACTGTGGGGAAAAAAGGTTCTATTCCTTCACTTTTCAACTCTTAAGAGAAGAGGGAGAGATCACCAAACAGCCAAGGTATACTCCCGGTGACTGACGTTAGATATCACTATATAACATGGTTAATAAATACTTTATTGCAGGGGTGTGCAGAATGACAACAAGCTAAAGTCCTATTTTGAAAAGTGGTCGAAAGAATAGGAAACTACTAGTGGAGTCAATTCATAGAGAGCAGTGTTATTTTGCAGGGGGCGGACTGAGGAGGGAAATGGGAGCGGGAGCTGGTGTTGTGTATCTGGCGGTTTTAAAAGAAAGGATCAGAAAGAAAAGTTGTTTGCACAAAGAATAAAAAGCAATTTTGAAATGGGGAATGGACATGTGAATCTGATTCTGAAGTGTGACCCAGGATTATTTCTCTATTGTAGACTGCACACCCCATGCAGTTGTCTCTCCTCAGATCTCCATTCTCTGCTCTACTTTGAGGAATAAAACTCTGTTTGTTCTCCACACCTGAACAGATCTGAACTGCTGTGTTTCTGCATGATAATAAGATGAACCAAAATTTAATTTAGTGTCTTTAATACTTTACAACCCCTGTTGGTAAACACCCTTGACCGCCTACCTAATGTTTAAAGCCTTTAAAACAATTTGTTTTATGAGATTCCGATCAGAATTCCCTAACTTTACCATCTTCAAACTTAATACGATAAAACACCTTCAAAAATACAGCATATCTGCAATGTCCATTTACAATGGTTCTTCAGTAGCCTATACTTCTCAAGCATAGGAATATGCTATACTATTGAGATAAGGAGAGAGGGGAAAAAAAATAACTGTATTTAAATACATACAAAAAGGAAACAGGAAAGTTTTCAACTTAAATCCAGTTCCCAGAGGGGGGAAAAGCAATTCTATGAATGCTGCCTTTATAACGAACAATCAGAAATTCCACTAAGCTAATTTGACAGAAATTTTCCTCATTTAAACAACATTACAAAAGTCCTGCATTATAAAATAGGGTAGAATAAATCAGTGTAATCAATAAAACTATACAACATACAAATTACATCGCTTCTGAGTGGGCAGATTTGATTCTCTCTCTCTTTGCGGCCATGACTACGGCATGCTCACTAAAAACAACTAACTGCCCAAACTATTGCTTAGTTTGCTTTGTTTTTGTTTTTTTAAAAAAGGGTGCAATTTCGTTGTATATACAACCAATTTACTGGTTATACCTTGGCTTATAGCAAGGTTCTGACAAAATGTTTGTCTAGGCTTTTTTCCCCTTCACTGTGAAGCACTGAAAGCTGCTAATTTTTTTATTTTTTATTTTTTATTAGTGCACATATGTTTTAATAAAGTAATGCCCTGCTAAGTGCTATAGGGAAGGCAAAGGATGCTGGCTAGTGGATGTGATACCATAACACTAACAATCACACAATACAACGGAGCAAATGACTACTCAACCACTTATTTGACATATATGAAAATCCAAAACATTTTTTTTCCTTAAATAGAGAATAACCAGTAAACAATTTTCAGAACTTGGAAGTTTTAAAAACGTGCATATAAAAATGGGCATTATATACTTTTTATTGAATGTGGATTGATTGCAATCTGCTAATAAAAATGGGTGTGGGATTTGAAGAAAAAGGGAGGTTTTTTTTTTAAGGCTTGCTTGTGAAAGGAACAGTTGTAAAACAAAAATTGCTTGAAGCAGGGTTCAGCTTAGTGCTTCACAGTTTGACTGCTTCTCTAAGAAGAGCCCTTCCTGCGTGTGCATTCAAAAATCACAAAAAAGTACAAAGACAAACACCTAAAATACACTGCGTCAAGTGCAGCACCGACTTTGGTCAAATAAAAAAAAAAATTAAAGAAAAATTAAGAATTGCTAAGCTTTTCTTCTACATGATATAAGCAGGTATTGCATATTTTCATATATCTGGGAAAAAACAAAAACAAAAAAAACACAAAAGGAAGACTCCAAATAAAATGTAAAATGCAGCAACATCAAAAATACTGATAATCTAACATCTACAGATCTCAGAATAGCACTGCCACTGACCGTACAGGACAAGAAAACACTACCGCTATCTGTGGAACAACTAACATCCTACTGAATTCTAAGATGCTGAAACTGACAATGGCTGACATAAAAGTCACATTTACAAAAAAGTGTCTCCAAATGCTTGACTAGGGAAAAAACCCCTTTCAATATAGGAACATGTGCAACAATTCCACAAATAATCGCTATCCAGGGCAAGGCACATTGATATGGAATTTTTTTTTGTTTTTGTTTCGTGCAAATCAATAAAACAAAACAAAACAAAAAATTAGTTTCAGGGAAAAGATGAGGAGCAAAGTGTCTTCCCAAGAAATTCAGTTTACTTGATTGTATAGGACAGTAGTAGAAACCCTTCTGAAGGGCCGAACAAACATAGTTTAAAGGCAAGTGCCTGGATTAGGGATTACAATATTGTGTCTTAATGCACTCTACTTTACCCTACATTAACTATATAAAAATTAGTTACTAACACTAGAACATGCAGAGAATTTCTCTGATTAGCGAGACTCGCCAACCAGAACGTATATATATGTATAATATAGGAAACCTTCTTAAAGTTGCATGGGAAGCAAAGGGGTGCTCCGCTGTCTGGTAGGAAAAAAAAAATCACTTGCATTTTTTTCCTGTTTTTTTTTCCTTTTTCTTTTTTTTTGTACATAAGATCAGGACATTTTGGGTCCAAACTTTTTTTCTTCTTCTCAGCAAGTGTCCTTGCTTTGAACTGGTATAAGATGTAGAATCAGCATTTTGCTTCTGTTTTGTTGCCTTTGCAGTTCAGAAAAAAACCAACGCCAGTTCAGGGACACAAAGGCGTTTTATTTTCTGGACAGCTTACTCTTATTAGCTCAAGGGCCACAGTCCAACTCAGAGTGAAGCATACTTAAGGACATTTGTTTCAATGGGCTTAAGCACACCTACCTCCGTGTCTGGTTGTGGCCAAAGTATTTTGAGAAGTGATATACCCTATATTGCCGGAAACACATATGATTTTATCAGAATTGGCATAATCTATTATAGTGACTTTTAGCTTATAAAATTAACAGATATTATGATTTAATTTTAATTATGTGCTTTGATAACAGAAAATGATTAATTAGCATTTAATGTAGATAACATATTGTGGTAAAAGCACCATTAAATTTTGTATTTCTTTTTAAATTTCCTTCAGTTTTAAAGGGATACAAGTTTAACAATAAAAAACATAAAAAGCAAAAATAGCTCCCCCTTTTTTTTCTTGCAAGGCTGTTTTTTACCCCGATAATTTAGAGTCCTGGGGTGGTAGGACTTGGAAAACAAAAATAGAATTTTCAACAATCTCTATCTTACAAAGATATTTAGCTATCCAATGAAATTGCACTTTTCTCAATTCAAAATTCGATTGTTTTGATTGATTCCTGTCAGTTTCTATCAAAACAGACCAACTTCCCCATTTCCGTGTGGATTTTATATCATGTTGAAAATCATCAAAAATGTTTCATGTAAGTGCAGCATTTAAACCCTTTTTTTCTTTTTCATGTGAACAGCAGTAGGTTGATATTTTATATTTCTCTGCAACTTGAGTGGAAATCAACCTGTTGATAATGCTCTTATGATTCATGTCACGTATCTAACTGCCGACTGTAAAATTAAAAACAAAACAAAACACCTGATATGTTACAGAAAAAAACATGCCCCATGTCTGTCCTGTAAGTTCTATATTGCAGAATTCAGCTACTACAAAAGTTATCATGTATGTGTGTTCCTCGTGATCTCTCAAGAAGTCCCACACCTATATGGGAAATTAATCAGTGAAAATACTGTAAAACAGCTAGGCGCCATGTGGAAAGTGTTATAACAGCAAGTCAGTAAGCAGCCAGCAGGCTAGCTCTACTACCCAGTGTCCCTAATGCTTACACTACCAGTTGAAACACTTCAAAAATTATGAAGCCCAAACATTTCCAGCACCATATGAGAAATTACATCGGTCACTAAGGTGTTCTTTTGTTTTTAAAAAATACCCTCCTCCCGCCCCCCCAAACAATGTTACGGCCCTTGTCAATCAACCATAACTTTTGCCGTTTCTGAATGCGAGCAGTTGCTTGCTGTCAATATCTGTTCATCTCCCCTTCCATGGATGCGAAGTAACTGCACTGTGTTGCTGCTGCTTCCATGTTACAGAGTTGGGAAGGGGTCGGGTGGTCTGTCTGGTGGGTGGTGGGAAGCTGTGAGTTTTATCCCAGGTACCAGGACTGCAAGAAGGAAACAAAAAAGAAAGGAAAGGTTGATTTATTTTTAGTATTTATGCAATGCTTTAAGCAGAATCCCTCGCATGTTCATGGCTATGTGTAAAAAAACCTAGGAATTAACAGTGAATCATTTGGCTATTTCTTGTGCCAAGGTACTAAACCAGTGAAATCACATGACATTGCACCTCTCTTTATTCTTTTTACATAGAGATGACTGAACACTAAATAATAAAACTGCAAATCATTACACAGATGTGACTGATATGTGTATATTTGAACATATGGAAGAGACACAAATTGTCATGAGTGCTGCTCTATCCATGAACTGTCACTTAAATAATAAACCTGTAGGGCAGAGATTTTCAACATTTTTGGGTCCATGGCTCCCTTGACCAACTCCATTCTTTCCATGGTACCCCTATGGGGCTCAGGAGCCCAGTTATGTCACCCCTTGTCTGCAGAGCTGGCAGGCCCTCACAGCTTTTCGAACACCCTCCCTTGTGGAGTGTTCCCTTAGCCTCCTCTCTTCCCACCTCTCCTTGGGAGTCCTCTGCGCAGCCGCCCCCACAGCCCCTTGTCTCTGAGCTGCCCTCAAAGAGAGGTGCCGCTTCACACTGCCCCACAGCGGCCTGGGAAGCACCCCCTGGTCAGCCCCAGAGGACCATTTGCCTGGGAAGCTTGTAGCCAAAGATGCTGCAACAAACAGCTGTGCAAGCCTTTGGGAGGCAGAGAGGTGAGGAGGAAGGAAAGAGGGACAGAGGCCAGTGTTGCCCATGTCACCTCTGACCATCATTCAAGGCACCCCAGGGTGCCACTGCACACTGGTTGAAAACCACTGCTGTAGGGAGCCCAAAAGTAGGTTTAGGCAGTTGAGGAGGAAGGATAAAGCAGCAGTACAAGAAGCATGTGGCTTTCTGCCACATAAAGATTTCAGGAGCTGCTTGGAACTTTAGAAATTCTGGCAATACAATGAGTAGTATGAGCTACACATTCCACGAAACCATTAAGACCATCTTGGATTAAAGTAATCTGAAGGTTGTGGCTAAATTTAGTTTGCCTATACATGTCCCACAACTGAACCACACCCCTAGATTCCATTCATATGTGTCCAAACACAGTTGGATTCTCCTGAGACTTGGAAAGGGGTGGGGGTTTTTTTGCTGCATCAATCTCTGACCATGTGAAAATATTGTGCCATATACACGAAGGTCCAATTGCTAAAATGGAAAAAGGCTAAGATCTATGTTTTAAAATTGCCACATCAAGGCTGCCTCTCTATTGTCAGTTCTGAATTGTGGCTATAACATGTAAAATGGATAACTGACATCACTGTCAGTTGTTATGAGGAACACAGCAGATGAACCCTGAAATAAGAGGCAATTGGATCAGCAAAAGTGCTGATACTTCTCTCTCTGGCCAAGTCTATGTTTGTAAATAAAGGTTAAACCTGGATAAAAGCTGTCTTCCATGAAATTAAACTAAAACGTATCATAGCACTCCATAAAATACAAAACAATGGGCATAGATGTCTGTCATGACAGACTGAGGTGAACCATAGCAGGAAAGGGGCTGGAAAGGTGAATTGTTTTATTTCCAATAGATTCAGAATACTGTTGCACAGCACCCCAATCTCGGAGGGGTGCAAGCGGGTTCCAGGTGCTTACTCAGGGTTTGGTTACCTCAGAATGATGGACAGTAGAGTTGTGGTGCCTTTATGATGTATGATTTATTTACAACATATATACAGTACAACCTGAACCTACGATGGAGGTGACTCATACCATTAACACCCCAAGAAGGTCTCCCATAGCCACAGCCTTGGATTCCAGCAGAAATCAAGCATGATTCTGTCTCTCAGGATTCCCATCCTGCATCCTCCTGCTTCGAGATACCTCAACTCTGGCCATTGTCTTTCTAACTACTAGCCAGTTGAGGGAGAAGGACCCACCCATTTTTTCTCTGGCACAAAGTCACTTCCTTTGTTACCTTCAGGACCAATACATAAGCTATTACCAAGAACATGAACAACTGAATCCTCTATTGAATTTTAACCCTGGCTGGATGCAGGCTTTAGAAGAACCTCAGGCATATGGCCAAGCCCCCACCCCCAAACTCACAACAATACATTTTGTGTTCTTCAGGCCTGATGGTTTACCTCAGAAAAGCCACCAAATCAATGAAGGCGTGGGAAGAATCAAAACCCAATAAAAAGTTATTTGATTTTGAACCCTGGTAGTGTAAAATAACTAGATAAGGCCTTGTTACGTTCAGCTGAACAAGCAGACACAACACGAAAGGCCACCATGAGTTCAGTTATACACAACTGTGACTTCTGTTATCCGTTTAAGCCATCCCTCCACAATCTTTCAAATACTATGATTCAAACATCCATGTGCTCGTTTGAAGGTTGCCCAAACTTCTTACATATGGAAGCAGGCTTGTGTTCACTGTTTGTCTCAGAAGTCAGCCCAACTGTGAAGAACATCTCAGTGCCATTGCCGTGTGTACCTAGTGGAAATTGGCACTGGTGCGGAGGAGGAGTGGGGCTGAATCACGCTGGTGTAATGCTTGAAACTAACTTTTGATTCTGTTTTTTAATATTGTTACCATTACCTATTACAATAGTATCCTCTCATTCTTCTATGGAGTTCTGAGTGGCTTACACAGAGCCTTTCCATTTTATCTTTACAACCAGTTCTTTTTTTCCTAAAAAAATGTTTATGGGTACTCTCATTTTCCTATCCCTATTTCCTATTGAAATACTGCCCCTCAATGAGGCCAAACTTAGATTCACAAAATGTTTAGGGGTGTGTGTACCCCTGCGTCCCCCCCCCAGCAGAAAAAGCACTGTTTACAACAACCCTGTGAGGTAGGCTAGGCCGTGATTAGGCCAGGATCCCTGAAGTCTAACACCGCATCCACTATATGTAAATATTTTCTGGCTGTCCAGCTTTAATAATTTGCACCTTTTTTTCTTTCTTTCTTTGACAGAAACAAAACACATTGCCCTTGCATCACTGGATTTTATGAGTGACATAATAAATAAAAAAAGTTCAGCTAGGTGACACAAATCAAAGTGGTGCCTTTACTGTCCCTGTCATTTCTCAGACAAAATGAGCTTACACCAAAATACCCAGTATTATTAATATTTAAATTGCATATTAACAAAGAAAAGCAAAAATCCTGCTGGCTTTAAGATTACATGATTTTTAGCTTTGGCAGTATGTCATGGAGGCAAGTTAAATAAATATTGCTTTATTTAAAAATAAGTTGGCAAGAGAAACACAGTCAATTCAGATGACTAGTTTCCTTTTTCATCCCACTGGCTAATTCTTTGGTCTTTTTTCATCTCTCTCTCTCTCTCTCTCTCTCTCTCTCTCTCTCTCTCTCAGACACACACACTTTCACCATCTTTCTTTTCTGATTTTATGAGTCAGAGCTAGACTGATAGTAATTAAATGAAATAGTTTTTATATGTAACTTTTGTTCAAAAGGTTTTCCTGAAGGTTAGGGTGCCTAGGCTCATTATTTTATAAGCAGTGCTATTCACCAGATTAATATAGATTGGCTTTGATAAAATTACTCAAGTGAGTAAAGAATGGTACATTATTTACACAACTGAACTGAGTAAACAGTTGTCATCAGGGCCACTAAGATGAGTGTTTACTAATAGTGCACTGATTCAAACACATAAATTCTATATATATTGACGAACTTCTTGTATTCATTTCAATAAAATTTGCTCTCACGTTAAACCACAGAGCCTAGGGCTTGCTGTTCAGAAGGTTGGCGGTTCGAATCCCTGCGACATGTGAGCTCCCGTTGCTCGGTCCCTGCTCCTGACAACCTAGCAGTTTGAAAGCACGAATTGCAAATATATAAATAGGTACTGCTCCAGCGGGAAGATAAATGGTGTTTCTGTGCACTGCTCTGGTTTGCCAGAAGCGGCTTAGTCATGCTGGCCACATGACCCGGAAGCTGTATGCCAGCTCCCTCGGCCAGTAAAGTGAGATGAGCTCTGCAACCCCAGAGTCGTCCGTGACTGGATCTAATGGTCGGGGGTCCATTTACCTTTACCTTTAAGTGTTATTACAGAACAGTAAAGCTTGGATGGTGTGAAACATTACCCTGCACAGCAGACATTCGAACAGCACCCAAGTTTAGAATCATGGTTCTAGGAGTAGCTAGCAAGAAGCCACATGTTTTAAATTGAGAGAAAGACCATTTGTCCCTAGTTGTTAGAGAAGCTATCACCAGGACCTGCCTATCAAGTTGATAAAGGCTTCCAATCCAACTTGGTAACACACCTAACATGACTGTTATTTTAAAAGCATTAAAAGTAGCATTCCTGTTACAGATTTACTGATTTATTGAAACAAGTCCCATGTAAAGTATGCAACTGACAGAGGCAAATGAGAAGTGTTAGGCTGAACTAATTTTTAAAGTAGTGATCAAGAACGATATCTAGGTCTTAATTTATAGCGTTTTGTTGTTGCTGCTGCTGTTCTTCTGGTTGATGTTAACTGTCAGTTAGTAACCATCCCAAAATTACAGGGATTTGATTCAGACAGTCTGGATGCCTAGATGGCCTGTTTCACTTTGGGACATGTAGTAAAACGCTTGAAACTATTTGCATTTTTTTTCAGAATGCAGCTTGTGCATGGTATTTCTTTTAATAATACTCAGTGCACATTTTGGACAGCAGGGGGTGCACTTTTCCATGCCACTTCTTTCCTTTGCTACTCACTGCACAGGTTTTTTTTTTTGGGGGGGGGAATCTGCAGTGCTTCTGAACTCCTCTCAAAACGGGGTGGGTGGGGAAGTTTCTTCACCCATCTTACTATTCAGTGTGTGCCTTGCAGACAAGGTTACCCCAGAGCAGCTCTGTAATCCTTCACTGAAATAGGCTTTATTGATTGCTCTGGTCTATTGTTCCCTTTTCAAGTCCCCCAAGTTCAAGTTCATCCTGGTGTTACATCATGTCTGGTTGCTACGAGCAACCAGACAGACCCAGACGTGACTATCATTAGCAAGAAACACTCTGCTCTCCTCCCACCAACCTTCCAGTGGCTCTGACGTAGCAGGGCCACTGCAAACACATTGAAGTATTTATTCAGCCTAATTTATGACCTACCCAGCAAGCGAGACCCCCACTCCAAAACCCAATGCTGTTGTATATTTAATTAATCAGCCTCTCTCTGGCACTTGGGAAAGTTAGACAAAGGGCTAATTATTGTGTTGCACTCCCCACACTTTTTTTTTTTTTACTGGGGTGGGATAGGGAGAGAGAAAGAGTTGAATATTTGCATGGGAAAGAAAACTTATACGAGGCTCATGCCAGTCGCACCCTCTCCCCATAAACACCTCTCTCCCACTCTCCTGCCCTGCTGACATTTCATGAAATACTTTAGCTGCTTAAGGGAATTAGAAAAAAAAAATCTGATGTGAATGTAACTCCTTCAGAGTTGGTATTCAGTAACACAAATCAACTCATGACATGTTTAAATTTAAATGCTAACCACACACTCTGAGAGTTACTTTAAAGGTTAGTTTTTAATCAATAGAAGTTGCTGACTCCGGAGTTTTGAGCTGCGCACTGCAGCTCTTGTGCCTTTGTCTAAGCCTTAAGGCTTTCAAACTTTTTTTTTTTTTAAGATGATTTTAGCAATGATTTGCAGACAGTGCTGTTGTGTTCTTGAGGAGCAACATGTCAATAAAGGAATAGAGTTACCCTGCGCTGGGGGTGTCAATATGACTCCTGGAGGCACCACTCACGTCTGACACAATGGAAAGCTGATTAACTCTTTCCTGGCCAAACTGGACACTAAAAAATCATTTGCAGAGATGTTCGACACTCAACTGACTACCAACTGACTTTTTTCCAGAATAAGATGCCCCAGTACACTGTTTACAAAGTCAGAAGTCTGCCTCCCCCCCCAACATGCAACCACCCTTGATTATTATTTGTTTTCAAATGCATTAAAGAGCATGTGCAATTACTGGATTCACAACAAATTCATAATGTCTCACAGAAAAAAAAGTCCATAGGCAGTGGTTCTACTGTGGTAGCGTTTTAAACTTCACCCTCCCTATTTCCACCACTCCGGGTGTGAGGGTAAAATATTTTGGATTGTGTTCGAATAGCAGCTAAACTATCTTTTTGACAAACTTTCAGCCTTACAATTGAAAGAAAATGTAAGCTTCAAAATAAAGGGGGTGTTTAAATGCACTTACACATGCTGCCACAAATATGCTCACATTTGGTCTGCGATTCACAGATCCGTCTAAGTTGTAAAAACAAGTATCTGTGCTGGAAGAATTTTTTGGCATGTTGGGTAATATGCAATCAGAAATGCATTCAATATTTCAATTTTTTAAGTATCTGGTCTTATATGGGATTCCCAGTGGTCTCTAGTGCAAGGAACTACTCAGGTCCACATCTGAACAGCTTCAGAAAATCTGCAGTATAAGAAATGCCCAGACCATTTACTGGGCCTGCATTAAGACTTCTCTCTTTTTTTGCCCATACCCGGGGCTACTACAATTCTGTGTTGTCCTAAAATGGATTTTACTGTCCTTCCCCCCCATGCTGAAGGTGAAACATCAAGAAGAATTCTGCAGTCCAGTACAAGATCTTCACTTTCCTTTCTCCAGTCAAATGAAGAAGTAATCTCATCAGGTTGAAAAGTGCTGACTAAGGATTTAATAAAGTGCCTGCAGATGTGTGTCATCTCTAAGGTATTCAACTCATGTAATGCAAAACAGTTCCACACTGAATGTGCTTATAAAATTCCATTTAACCATTGCTGAGCTCTGTTTTAATGTCCTCAGAGGAGTATTATCACACTCCCCCCTCCCTAATTTACAGCACTATGAAAGTTGAAGCTCTATACTGCCAGTGTCCTAAAATCCTCACAGTAGTAAGGTTTTATGAACCATAAACAATATCTACTTGACTGAATCCTAAACAGGAAGTCTGAAATGGCAATTACATTGCTTTGAGAATGTCAGCCTATATCCAGGGCTAGCTGCGGAAGGGGACTTAAAAAAGAAAAGAAAAGAAACCTCCTGGCAAGTCTTTCTTTGGGATTCAAAGAACATTGAAAAAACACCAGTCCTGGAGTTCAGAATATTTCAAAGAGAACAGAAACATTTATTCTCTAGTACACGTTTTGACTGTGCTAGCAGCACAGAAATAGGCCAAAAGGTTATTCAAATAATCTTTAAAACGCCTGTCTTTTTATTTTTGGCTCTAAAAATTTCTATTTTCAAACTCAAACTAGCCCAGTTCCAAAGATTTCTATCTGTGCATCCCCCTAAATAATGACATATTAGACAAAACAAACAGAAGTGGGAACTGAAGAATAGAAGAAAGTAAAAAGAAGTCCTCAAGGGCAAAGTTTAATGCTGCGGAAGGAGGTTGTTAATGTGGAATCCAGAACTGGGTGTGACAAGTTGGCTTGCTTCTCAAAGCAAAATGGGTTATTTAAGGACATTAATACATTCAGAATGTTCTCTGACAAACTCCATAGGCTAGATTTTATGTCCCCCAAATGCATTCATAACTAAGGCCTTTTATTGATTTACAAAATTTCCCTTCTCTTCCAAAGAGATTGGGTGGCATACAGGGCATGTACAACCCCCCCAACACAATTTCCCTTACAATAATTCTATGAAGTAGGTTAGGCTGAAATACAAAGATTAGGTCAGGTCTCATTACTATTATTAACTGTATTTATAGACAACCTTTTCTCCAAGAAGTTCAAGGTGGCACACATAGTTCTCCCCATTTTATCCTCACAGCAATGTTGTGAGGTAGGTTTGGCTGATAGGTTTGGCAGAGTGGCCCTAAGTCACTCTGTGGTCTTCATGGCTGAATGGGAACTCACAATCCAGGTCTTAGTCCTGTAATATAACCTCTACTCCACATTGGCTTTAGGTTACCAGGGCCTAAGTTGAAGTGTTGACTTTAAAACATAAGGCTCTGAATGACTTGGAACTCAGGTACTTGAAGCAGAACCTCTTCCTATAATAAACCTGCCCATGTATCAAGATTGACAGTGGAGGCCCTTCCTGGGGTCCCACCCAAAGTAAGGTACGTTGTGTGATAAACCAGACCAGGGTCTTTCTGTGGTGGTGCACTGGCTGTGGATTTGATTGGTGCCATTGGGGGCTATCATTCTCTAGGACAGGAACAAAGAGCCTCTGGTCCAGGGCCAAATGAAGCACTCTGGGCCTCTCGGTCTGATCCTCCATATTCTAGCCCAGGCAATATCCCTTCCCACCCACCCTCTAACCAGGCTACAACAATCACAGGCTCTGCTTCACACTTTCCTTGAGTGTCTTTGCCTGACTGAAATGTGTCCTTTAACTCCATAATGCCTGTTGCTTGCCTGGATGGAGGAAAGAAAGAGAGTGATGTGTGAGTGTGAAGAAACTAGCCTACTGTACAAAAGGTACAGTTCACATTTGTCGTGCTATCTTTCTTTGCCTTTGGCTCTGTGCATTACTGACATGTAAGCCTTCAAAGGTTGCCCAGAAGGGAACATGACCTTTCGGTGAAAAACAGCTCACCACCTGTGCCATAGAGGGAACTGAATAGCCTACAGATTTCAGAGGACTGGAACACTTAAGTCTGTGTGAGTCTACCCTGTTTTTTTGATGGCCACAACAACATTAATATAGTTGTTTAGAATGCTCATTTTTTAAAGTATTAAGATAAAAAGGTAAAGGGACCCCTGACCATTAGGTCCAGTCGTGACCGACTCTGGGGTTGCAGCGCTCATCTCGCTTTATTGGCCAAGGGAGCCGACGTACAGCATGACTAAGCCGCTTCTGGCAAACCAGAGCAGTGCACGGAAATGCTGTTTACCTTCCCGATGGAGTGGTACCTGTTTATCTACTTGCACTTTGATGTGCTTTTGAACTGCTAGGTTGGCAGGAGCAGGGACCGAGCGACAGGAGCTCACCCCGCCGTGGGGATTCGAACTGCTGACCTTCTGATCGGCAAGTCCTAGGCTCTGTGGTTTAACCCACAGCACCACCCGCATCCCAAGTATTAAGATATATCAGTACTATTAGAAGATACATCAGTATTATTGTCCCGACATTGCAGCTGAGATGCTAAGGCTATGAGGCAATAGACTGCATAAGCCTTGAGGGTCTTTCAAAGCAATCGCTTCTTGATTGTGAAATACCCTCACAACAGAGGTGAAGCTGGCGCCAACCTTAGTTATAAGAGCATCTTGTTCATTTATGGTGGAGACGACATTTGAAAAGGGGGACTTTGTGGCACACCACAGCATAACCCTCAGCTGTCCTGGGGAAACCATGACATCCCATTTTTTCACGCGAAAGCACAGTGGCCTTTTTGGGCACCGTGATCTTGCCCCGAAAAAGTGCTTTTATCAGGGCCACGTTTTGGGGTGCTATGCTCTCATGCAATAGTTGTGATCTTGCGCGGGAATGCAACCCCAAAACACAGCGTCCCATTGTTTTCACCTCAACATGTTGCTCAATTTATAGAAAAAGGGATATTGCTGATCAGCACTTATGAGGGACAACTTCACAGTGGTACTTGCCATCTCTAAGAAGATTGGGCCGGCACTGATTGGGAGCATAGGAAAGTTAGGCTAAATCAAAATAAGTTGGCCTCGGCTTCTTTCCAGGCTTGAAGGACACATGCATTCATATTATATTGTTGTCTTCTTATATGATTTTATGCTATTTTGATATATTGCTGATTTAAAGCTGCTGGTATTTTATTGTTTTGTTTTATTTTGAAAGTTGACTCTGAATCTAACTTTGCTAGAAGGGAATGGTATGAATCTTTGAACACATTCATACATAGGTTTAAGCTGTGCTCAGGCATTCAGCTGAGTATGTGAGCTGCAAAACCAGGGATGGGGTAGGTGCACACATTGCAAGTCCCACACCCAACAACTCCAGGTGTGAGGACAAAGGTATGAAAATGGGCTTTAAGGATGTTTGACTGAACACAATGACAAATGTTTAATTTTCATGGAGGATAAGGCTATCAGTGGCTACCAATGCCAATGGTTATTTCTTCCTCCACTGCTGGAAGCAGTATGCTTCTGAACACCAGTTTCTGGAAACAGCAGAAGGAGAGAATGCCCCTGGCTGGGCACTGTGAGAATAGGATGCTGGACTAGATGGCCAGATCCAGCAAAAAGGGATGGAAGACCCCCATTTCCCTAAATAGCAATCTTGGTAATATACAGTTGTGTACTTTGAACATCTTAAAAGAAAGAGGTGCAAATTTCCCCAAGGGCACAAAATTTTCAAAGCAAAATATACACAAATTTTTGAAGGAAACTAAATGTAGTGAACTGTGTTGAACTTCATCCTATAGCTCTATAACAGGACTTCCAAAACTAAGGTTGAAAGCATATATAATATAGAAAGAGAGTGCACTACACTGGAAACCAGTTGTGAGCTCAGTTTTTATATTAACATGTCTTTAGCACACCAGTTCACTGGTAACACTAATGCTGCATTTCCCTTTTTTTCTGAATGGGAAGTGAAGTACCCCATTTCCAAGAGACTGAAGTGGAGCAACTTCTTCCTGTTTCAGGTGCCCCGCAATGGGGAGCTAGCTGTGTTTCTCAGTGGCAGCAGTCATGGAAAGCAGGTGCCCTCCAAAAACCTAGCACAAAATTTATCATGCAGCAATTCTTGCTGCTGGTTCCTAATCTACTGAGTAGTCCAGAAAGTTTCCTTTGTAACAATGTGTAAATCCAAGTCAAGGATCTCCTGTGTCTGAATTCTGAAAAATGAATTAAAGGTTGGTTGAACTGCAACACAGTTGCCTTTAGTCTGAATATAATATATAGAACCATCAGAGGGAAAGGGTTTGAATGTAATCCAAGCAAGCAAGACCGAGTGTCACTTTGAATACGGTGTATACATTACGCAAAGGAATTTATGATATAAATTAGAGCTATGGGAAGAAAACTTCCCCCTTTTTGCTATGAAAGAAAATGATCAAACATTATACTTTTAAGATAAAGATTAACATTCTTATGAGGAAAATCTCACATGCTTCTGCAGAAGGAAAGGAATAGTTGTGTTTATTGCCAAGTTTACTTTAAATTAATGGCCCAAACTTTCATGACACACGTTCAAAGCCAGTCACAGTAATAGTTAACTTCAGATTTTTCAGGCGGAGGTGGTGAGAAGAAGGAAAAGAAAAAGTAGTCAAGCAAACAAGAGAAAGAAACAATCCTATTCTGGTTTTGTTATAGGACGGCATACTACATAGATCAGAGGCTTGGGGGGAAAAATACAAACCCCCACTGTACACAAAGCACAGGAAAATGTGAGGGGGGGAAAGGGAAAAACTAAAAGCAGCTTAGGATGTGTTAACTCTGCCATTCTGTCAGCTTAAAGAGTATTTTATGCTTGATCAACAGCTCCCTTTTATTATGCTTTTCTTTCATTCATTCAAGACATCAAAGAAGTGAACCACCAGTGTACCTGATCTGCGGGAAGAACTAGTAAGGGTGTTCTAAAGAAACTGGGATATTGGGAGCCAGACACCCCTGCGGACAAGCTAGTTCAAAGGGAATATTTCAACAATGATTACATTTTGTAAATCTTTCCTCCTCCCCACGAAAGACAGCTTATTTCCTGCTTTGTCATGAAAAATAGATTGTACCCATTAAAGTGAGCCTGCACTATCAAAGTTACTTGAGAACTCAAGTACAGCAGCAAGGGGATTAAGTGGAAAGCAAGATGAAATCTTTCAGAGACTTCCAAAGTGTTGCTTACGAGCTGTTGTTAGTCATAAGGTTTTTCTTACTGGAATACAAGCACTCTGCCTCCATCTACTTGCAGGACGCTCTAAAACACAGATGAAAAGTCGGGATATGCTGGCATTCTAAATGGTATGAGGTTAATGCACTAAAAATCTCATGCCCTTAATTTAAACTACAGAACCGCAGACTGAGTCTTTTCAGACCCTCCACTTAATTGGCAAACTATACAGGGATTCGATGCAGGTGCACAGGCCCTGGCAAGGGGGACACACACACACACACACACACACACACACACACTTTTTTCTTCTTCACCCGCTACATAGAAAGTTTAATGGCAAGCTCTTGTTTGATGAAGAGCATAAGTTTAAAAGTAATAAGAAAAGGTCTCAAAGAAATAGAGGCGCCTTCTGTGTGCATTGTTGAATGGTGCACAGCGCTCCTCTGAATGCGCTGGTGGTATAGGACCAGCACGCCTATGTATGGTGGACTAGATAATCATATATAAAGGACCACTGATCTGGGCTGTGCCAAGTGTCAATCTGTCATATGACTCTCAGCCTGACTGCGCGCCTTTTCAATATGGTAAGATTAGTAGTAACCAAGACTTGCTTTGAACTGCAGTACTGAGAGCACATGTCAGTGCACAGTACGTTCCTTCACTGTAAGAGTTCAGTCACACTGTACATGGCAGTTTTGTTTTGCCATATATACACATACATCCACACACATGCTTTGGTTACATGCCAGGGAATCCTGGTCAAATGCGCCTCCCCCTCTCCAGCCCATCACCTCTTTCCGAGTGTTTGGAAATGGGTCTCCTCTTCACACTTCGTGTGTTTTTATGGAAGTCTGGGATATAAAACTAACCCCCCCGGATCTGTTAACAACCTATTTTGCAAGGAGGCTGTACTCGGAGCAAAATGGTTTCCCGCTGCACCCAGCAATACTTTCTGTCCAGTTCCATTGGAATGCATTTAAAAGTTCAAGTTCAAATTTAAACTAAATAAAATGCTCCTTGGGAGCCTAGAGCCAGCCTTCATTTACATGTGATCTCTCTGAACTTCTCTTGTGCTAGCTTGCTCTGTTTCCAGGGCCCACCAAAGGAATGTTCTGCAGTTACAGCCTGCAGTGCTTTCTCAGGCATTTGAGACCCAGAGGCACAAATTTCAAGCTCCAGTATTAAAAGTTTCCACATAACCAAGAGAAGAGGAAGGAAGGAGGTAGAACAATATATCCTTAATTATTTGCATATAGCATTACAGTTAAAATATTACACTTTTTTTTAAAGGAACATAACTTATCCTAACAGCCCCAGTGTTATAACAACCAGCTTGTACTTTCACCACAGTCTAACCCTTTGTTCTTCATTGCACTTTCCGCTTTTGTTAGTTTTGCAAAATCCTTTGTTAGCAAGCTCTCAAGACTGTACTTGCAGTTTTATTCAGTTTGAACCAAAGGCTGGGCTCCCAAAGCAAGTTATCTACAAACAGACTTTTTTAAAAAAACTATGCATCTTAAGAGTGCAACAAGGAAAAAATGTCTAAATACAGCTATTATTCTTTCACAAACAATTGGTCAGTACACATCAATAGACTATCGTGTTTAGACATGTGATGAGACATATCAGAATGTTGCCTATTTTTCTTTAGTTCTGTACCCATGAATAGGAAAAAATCCTCAAAGCCCATTTTTTGGACCCAAGGGAGAGTTGAAGTATAAGACAAAACAAACAGCAGTTCTCAAAATAGATGTTTTTGCAAAAAAATAAAAATAAAAATCTAGCATTTTGTCAAAATCAGCAGTTTTGCTGTAGGTACAGAATAAGGGTTATCACCTTCACTGAAGGAAGGAAATGGTGTTATACCCAAGATGACATTGATGTGGAGCTATGTAGATTTAATTGGATGTGATAGCAAACATACATCACACACACACACACACACACACACACACACACACACCCCTGAAGCATGGAGGTGTCCTAATACTAGTAGCATTGACACCAAAGAGTCTCTTTTGAAGACTGGACTCAATAGTTTCTAATGATTTCTAGTACAAGATAAGCCTTATGAAAATGTAAGAAATAGGCAGTCAACATGATGCACCAATGACTATGTGGCTAAAGCCTGTCATTTTTAGCTATACAGTGGTACCTCAGGTTACATATGCTTCAGGTTACATACGCTTCAGGTTACAGACTCCGCTAACCCAGAAATAGTGCTTCAGGTTAAGAACTTTGCTTCAGGATGAGAACAGAAATCGGGTTCCGGTGGCGCGGCAGCAGCGGGAGGCCCCATTAGCTAAAGTGGTACTTCAGGTTAAGAACAGTTTCAGGTTAAGTACGGACCTCCGGAACGAATTAAGTACCTAACCTGAGGTACCACTGTACTACCTAAAATGCTTTAGAGCTTCCGAAACGGTGGTCCATGGACCATCAGTGATCCATAAGCTTCATTCAGCTGGTCTGCGGCATGTCCATATTAAAAATACATATTGATTTTTAATTGCTTCATTTATATTATTATTATCATTATTATTATTATTATTATTATTATTATTACACACAACAACCACCACCACCCATCTTCCAACATAGTGCATTACAACTGCTGCAACAGGCAGAAAAAAATAATGAAGTGATCTGCCAAGACTCTTACTGCTTGGTAACACATTTCCATGGTAGAAGGGGCATTCTTCTGTGGCCAAAGTGTGTGCATTGTGTTCATGGAGCAACTGCTTGTGTTAAATAATGTTGAATGTGCATGCGAAAGGGTGGAATTCAGACTATAATTCCCTTTGACGCACACCCTGCCCCTATAAAGCTACTTCTGCTTTATTTGACAGCTTCTAGTTGGACCAAGGTCATGATTTTAGTCCAATCTCGTACAGTTTCTGGGTCTAACTCCCCCCCCCCCCAGGTTTGCCTAGATAGCGGCAATATGCGGAGATTTCAGGGTCAAAGGAAGCCACATCTCACATTACACTGCAGTGACTTTCTGGTCTGGATAGAAATGTCTAGAGGAGTCCACCACAGCTGTCCTTGGTTATCAAAGGACACTGTGTAGTGAAGATCCTGGAACAACATGAAAAACGTAGGCAGTATTGAGGGGCAGGATCTGGAGAGTCATCCCTAAAGGACAATTAAAGTCAAGGGCAATTCGTAACAGACATTTAACTGAACACCCCCCCCCAAAAAAAGTTAAGACTGACCATTGTCCATTATTAGAGCTGTCATACAATTGAAGAAATCTTAGGATATTTAATGGGTTAAGCTTCACTCAGTTAATGATTAATCTATTAAATCTGCATATTAATAAAGTAAACAGTCTGGGGAGGAGAAGCAGCATCCATTTCTCTGCTTTTAGGTGATACACATACAACATCCTATTAGCTGCAAATCTTTTAAGTAATTTCACAGAAAGCACTAAACAATTTTTAAAAATAAAACCTGCTGCAAAATAAATCAGTCAAAAGGTTTTTTAACTGATAATTGACTAAACATTGCAGTTCTAGTTATTGTTTATTTATTAATTTAAAATTTTGGAACAGTGGGACATGGTGTTGGGTTCAGGGTGAATAATTATTCTGTAAATGGAAGGAGGCCTTATTTCAACATAAGGTGAAGTCTGCATCAAACCTATCAGGCATCACACGGGGGTAAAGTCAAACTATTTATTAGCATAAAGTCAGACTAATTATTAGTGCTGTGTTTTAACAGTATGTAGCATACCAAGTGGATTGAATTAATAGTTATTGTTATGACAGTAACCATAATTATACTCTTTGAAGGGATCAACACACACATTTCCACTTCCAGCATCTATTAATGGTCACATCTCATGATTTTGAAACACTTCATTAGCTTATATCAGATATTTGAAATTCAAGATCTTGCTGTCAATTCAGTCAGTTGCAGGTTTGGACAAAAATGACCTGTCCACTTATAGTGGCATGGGGTTAATCACAATCCCACTAATTGGCTTCAACCAAGTGCATACTTAAAGCCCTAAATTTTAAGAAATGGGGCTTGGCCACAAGAAACTGAGTGCAATATTTTAGGCACTGGGCACTAACTAGAGAAATTAGACAAGGCCAAATCCCAACTGCAATTAGACAACTTAAGCACTTCCAGAATTTAAGCATGTACTACTTCCTCTGCGTATTGCCTACAATTTTTAGCTGAGCAAACACAGCTTGCAATCAGCTGGCTTTCTATATGTTTCCAAAGTTATTTCTGATTGCAGAGGGAGAGGAGAACCTGGCATGCTACTTATTAAGTGAGGGAAACTGTTCTGGAATCCTTGAAAAATAATACATTATGGTGTGCCACAATACTGCTTTTACGGGGATGGTTTTTAGACTATAACTGTACTTGTGGTTATTGCCTGCCAAGAAAATGGGTATTTTGACCTTTGTCCTTACTTCACTGAAAGATG